GTTCTTGGAGGATGGGTTTTTTTAAAAAATTAATGGTCCTGGATGACTGTGTTTTTGCTTCTTGGATGCTTGGAAAAAGTTTGTTTGATTATTCTTAAAGAATAAAATAAAGTGGAAAAATTTTGCTAAGTAATAAATTTGAGAAGTGTTTTGCCTATTTCATCCTATTTCATAATAAAATTAAATTATAGAATACTTGTTAGATTATAAGTATCTATATTAATTACAGTAGTTAAAATAAATAAAGAAACTAAAAAAAATATGAAATGTCAACACATAGATAAAGCACTAGACAAAATAAATAATTTAATTAGAAGAATGAATAATGATGACTTTTCTCTCTGTGAAACAAAAGGTCCGTTCATAAAAGAGGAAGATATTAGAACGCATTTGGATAACATGGGAAGTTATTACAAAGCGAGAACAACATGAGATTATACGTACAGTTTTAAATTAATTAGACGAAGTGCATTGTATGACAGTTTATCAGACATATTTGACGAGTTAAATAGTTGTAATTGTCGTTCTGAAATGAATAGTAAACTTAATGAGTTGGAGGATAGACTTAATGACTTACGTGATGACTTTAAGGAAAAAGAAGCAGAATTGGAGGAAGAAAGAAGACAAAGAAGAAAGGATAAGGAGGAGCAACATAGTGAAAGGTTGCAATGAACGAAAACTGAGGGAGAAATAAAAACTGCAAAAGCAAGAATAGAAGAGCGATTAGAGGGTTCTTCGTCGCAAGTAATTGAATTAAGGAAGCGGTTAACCGACAGCGAGAACCAAGTAGCACGAATAGAAAATAGACTTGATGAAAGAAATAGAACAATACAGTCTCTAACCAATCAATTAGCCGATTTGCGAGTAGAAGGCAGCGAGAAGGATAGTAAATTACGGGAAAAAGAGGGCGAATTAGAGAGAAAAAATGAAGAAATTAAAAATTCTCAAAATCAGGCTGGTTTATCTAAGGAAGAATTATTAAAGGAAAAATTGCGTTCAGAAAAGGTAAATTTAGAACTTTTTGTTTCCCAATTAGAAGTTAGTTTAGAACAAATTAATAGTTTAAGTAAGTATCATGAGAAATTGTTCCAGGCTCGTAAAGAACGCAATCAAGTTAATAGTGAAGTTCACGAGGAAAATATTGAGAGGATTAAACAAGAATTATTAGAAAAAAAAGTTAATATTATAAATATTCAAGAAATCTGTCGTAAATGTGAAAGGATAGCCGAATTGCGTTCAGAATTAGGTTTTGAACCAATTCAAAGTCAAACTCGGCCGCAGCAGGCAAATTATTCTTTTGGTAGAGAAAGAAACTGAAAAAATATCAACCCTAACTTCACCCCTGAATTAGTCCAAGAATGAAAGAATTATGGCTTTACCTATGAAGAATGTGCGGACTGAGTAAACATTAATTCTCCGGAAAAGCAAAACCAGGCCATTAAAGAACCCCCCTACTATGCTTGATTAAGAGACATTAAACAAGTGGATAGTTATTGAGTTTTAAATGAGAGTGATAGCCAGCAATTAGGTCAAGAGTTTTTTCAATGGTATCAACAGCAACAATTCCAAGCCCAACAAGAGCAACCAGCCAAATAATTTTAAAAATATAAGTCCATGGTAAAAAAATATTACGAAATCTTAGAGGTTAGCGAAACCGCGGCCCCAGAAGAAATAAAAAAATCTTATCGAAAATTAGCCTTAAAATGGCACCCTGACAAGTGGGGAACTAAAAGTGCGGAAGAAAAAGAAACCGCCAATAAAAAAATCCAAGAAATAAACAAGGCTTACGAAGTTTTAGGTAATGAAGAGAAAAGGAGAAGGTATGATTTAGGCGAGACCGATTTTTCCGCTAGTGGTTATGACTATGAAGAAGAGTTAGAGGAATTAAATAGAAAAAAGGAGGAAATAGATGATGAGTTAGAGCAAACCAAAGAACAATCAAAAATAATTGCCCGTAGTCAGGTAATTACTTGAATAAAGTTGGAAATGTCAATGGTGTGAGATTTTCGCACAGAGCATTATGAGTATCTAAATAGCAAATTTAGTAATTTATGAGTTCCTTATAATTGTTGGGAAGAAAAAGTAATGAAGATGGAGGTTAAAAGTAATCCACGTGGCAAGGCCGGTATTGATGACAGTGAGTTAAATAAATTTAGAGATCAAATGTTGGAAGCGGTTAAAAATTCTAAGGAACTTTATGAAACAACGTCAAAGGCCAACAATCCTGAGGTCGAACAGGCGAAAACGAGTGCTATTGAAATAATAGAAAGAGAGTTAAAAAAGAAGAATTTGAAAGTTGAAGATTTGGAAGAAAGGTATCGCAATTATCAAGAGCAAATTAACAGTTTGGATAAGGTGTGGAGAATTCGCTCTTTAAGGGATAAAATTACGACTTTTATTCGTCGTCAGAAAGTTAATTACAATAAGAATAGGGATGTCAAAATTAATGAGTTGGGAGACAAAGCAGGCGAGCAAGAAGATAGAGGTGGAGAAAAAGTTGGTGGTCAGCAGCCAAGGAGTAATCAAAATAACTCCCAAGGAAAAAATAAGTTTCCTGAGAAACAAGATACAGATGGAGGGATATATCAACCAAATGAAACAAGTGTTGAGTCTGAATTTGATAGTTGGGATAGTTTAAGCAAAGAAGAATTAATTGACGAAATCAAGAAAAGTAGATCGGATAATAACCGATTACAAAAAATTATTATTTCCTTGGAGACTAGGATTAAAGAGTTGGAGGAAGAAATTGCTGAGTTAAAAGCAGAAAAAGCCAAAACTAGTGAAGTTTCGGAACAACAAGAAATTAGTCAGGAAATTCGACAAAAAGAACTTAAATTACAAGAATTAAGGAAAAGTTTGATGGAAGTTAATGGCAAATCTGATGGGTCTCCTAGTTCCCAAAGTGCTAATAATTTTCCGACAAGTTTATTGGTGGTAGGTGCGGTAAGTTTGATTATCCTCCTTCTTTTTGTTTTGATTAAAAGTATTAAGAAAAATAAAAAATAAATTAAAAAGAAAATGAAATTATAATTTAATGATATGGTAAATAAAAGAATAATACACCTCCTAAATGTTAAACCAGTCGAAGAAATTGCATTTGTAGATGAGAACAAAATAACCCCCGTTTATGGAAGAACTTATGTTACAGCTCATAAATCTGGCTTATTTACTATAAGGTATGAGTTTCATAGTTCAAGGGAACATTATTTCGAACGGTCTGGAAATTATAGTAATGTGTGAAACATAAATGGCAGTTTGGAGGACATCAAAGTTGAGCAACGAAAACTAGAAAATGGAGAAATTAGAGTGGTTTTTTCAACAAGTTCTGGAGGTTATGAAAGAAGCACTTATGAGGAAAAAAGAGTAAGAGACCAATTAAGAAAAGATGTTCGTAAGTTTGAATTGTGAAGACATGGAGACCCAAAAAGTATAGAGTGAGAGTTTAAAATGGAGATGTGTACGATGGAATTGCCGGAATTGCCTGACAGAGGGCGTTGTCCTGGCTTTCAAGCTCGAATTCAACGGGGTTAATAAAAAGTTGTCAAAAAGAGTCAAATGATATATGCTTTCTAAATTTCCGTATGGGTTAACAAATTTTATTCCCTTATCTTCCTCCTTTATTCTAATAAAAGAAAATTGCTTTTATTAATTAAAGCCTGTTTCTAACACAAGTAAAGTCTTAGAAAATAATTTTTTTTTGCTACTTTTTTAAAAGAGAGGGGAAGATAGGGAAAAATAAAGGGGAAAGATAAGGGATTAATTGATTCACTATAAAAGTATAGAAGGAAGAAATAATGAGCAATTTTTAAGGGGGAGGATAAAAGAAAAGACTACTAATATCTAAACCCGATAAAGTTCTCGATAAGGTTTAATTACTTTTTGCTTTTGAGTTAGTTCTTCT